TCCAGATTATAAAAACATTTTTGCTTTTGTACTATTAACACATATCTTTAATGCCATATACTGTATTTCATTTTTACCTAATGCTTTATTTTTTATTTATTTTTGGTTTTTTTTTCAACTTTTATTTTAGATTCATGGGGCACATGTGTTGGTTTGTTACAATTCTGTATTGTGTGATGCTGAGGAAACCCATCATCCGGGTAGGGAGTATAGTACCAAACAGCTAGTTTTTCAACCCTTCCCCCACTGTTTCTCCCCTCTTATAGGCTCCAGTGTCTATCAAGCCTATCTTTATGTCCATGTGCACCCAGCGCTTAGCTCCCACTTGTAAGTGAGAACATGCGGTATTTGGTTTTTTGTTTCTGCATTAGTTCACTTATTTACCTAATACTTTAACATTTTCTACTGCTGTGCGTTTTTTTTATATAGTATGTACTTGTATGCAGTAACACATGTATATAACTTATAAATAAATAATATTAGGAGTTCACAATCAGAATTTTAATTTGAAACCATTGTTGTTTTGAAGTCAATTATGCAAATAAAGCTTCTGTTTTGGTTTAAAGGGTCAGGAAAACTTCCAGTGTCATTTTTTATCCATCCCTAGAAGGAAGAAAATGGGAATACATTGAGATTTCTTGAGCTTTTAATCCATGTTATGCTAGCTTTCACTAGGCTCTGCTGCAGAAACAGTCCCCAGATCTCAGTGACTTACAATACAAAAGTTTATTCCTCACTTGTGATACATATTCAGAGTGCTGACTCTGCTCATGTTTTCTTTATCCTAGGACCTTCAGCCAGGACATTCTAGGTTCTTGGCATAGGAAAAACAGATGACCAAACCTTGTGATGTCCTTTAAAGCTAACACTTGGAGGTAGCATTTATTAGTCACTTCTGCTCACAAAAATAATATGGCCCTAACATCAGTAGAGGAGGAATATACCAGGAAGAATGTAAACCACATAGGGATGTGTAGTTGTCTTAGAATAAAGGCAGCAAATAACTAAAAACAATCTACCATAGAATGCAACGTATTTGAAATTAAGACTTTCTAAGCTTACTACTGAATTTTAATAATTGATACAAATTTTAAATCATTAATTTTTACACTAAACATTATTTTATGACTTAGACAATTATCTGAAAAATGTTTTAGAGTTTGAAACAACCAAAAACAATTTAAGAGTCTCTAACATGTAGAACAACAAGAAAATAGTAAACCATGAGGGTTGTTAGTGCCTTAATAACGTCCCTGAATGTCAGAAGCTTGTATATTAATGATTCTAAGACAAAGCAACCAAATTCTTATTCTTTAACCTCTAATCTTGCTGACAGGCATTATACTGTTTCGAAGCTACTCACCATTCTTTAAGAAGAAAAATAATCTAGATCTTATTTTTCCCCCCAAACTCAATAGCTCTTACCAACCAGGGACATATATGAAGCAAACCCATTATTCCTATGGTTATCTCTTAAGTCTTTGGAGATAAAAGTGATGATTCAGATGAAAAAGTCAACATAGAAATTTAGTCCTTTTTTTTTTATTTTTTGTTTTTGAGACTGAGTCTTGCTCTGTTGCACAGGCTGGAGTGCAGTGGCATGATCTCGGCTAACTGCAACCTCCACTTCCCGGGTTCAAGAAATTCTCCTGCCTCAGCTTCCTAAGCAGCTGGGATTACGGGCATGCACCACCACATCTGGCTGATTTCTGTATTTTTAGTAGAGATGGGGTTTCACAGTGTTGACGAGGCTTGAACTCCTAACCTCAAGCGATCCACCTGCTTTGGCCTCCCATAGTGCTGGGATTACAGGCATGAGCCATCGCGCCAGCCAGAAATTTAGTCTTGATTATTATTATATTATTTTTGATGATGATGATTATAACCACTCCCTTCCCCAAAACACGTAAAAAGAAAACACTCCTCATAATTTACAACACATTTAAAATTATTCTGAAGCATTTCAAACATCTAGGCAAGTATAGAGCACATGATGTGCATGTGTAAACCTGTTGCAATCTGTGTGTCATTGTAAAAAATAAAAGAAATCCTTTGCCCAGTTCCTCTATTGGTAAAAACTTGTAAAACTATAGTAACACAACCAGCGTATGGACATTGGTACAGCCGAGACACAGAATATTTCCATCTCCCCAAGGATCTCCTCACATTACCCTTTTGTAGCTATACTCACTTCCTTCCTGCCCCACCTTATTTGCATTCACTAATGTATTCCCCATTTCTATGATTTTGTGGTTTCAAAAATGTTACATAAATGGAATCATTAACCTTTTGGGATTGGCGTTTGTCGCTTAGCATAATCTCTTCAGATTCATCCAAATCGTTGCATGTATCAGTAGTTCATTTTTTTTAAATTGATGAGTGTTAGTCCATGGTGTGGATGTATGACAGTTTGTGTAGCCGTTCTCTCAGTGAAGGACATCAGGGTTGTTTACAGTTTTCGGCTATTACAATAAAGGTTTTTGTGTGAACGTAAGTCCTCATTTCTTAGGGTAATGCCCAAGAGTGCAATTGCTGGGTTGCATGGTATTGCATTTTTGGTTATTTAAGATGCTGCCAGACTTTTTTCCAGAGTAGCTCTACTGGTTTACATTCCCACCAGCAATGTATCAGAGGTATCAGAGGTTCAGTTATTGCATTCTTACCTGCATTTAGTGTCATTATTTTTTGTTTAGTCATTCTGATAAGTACATTGTAATATCTAATGGTTTTAATATGCAGATGATGTTGAGCATCTTTTGATGTGTTTATTTATCATCATTACATTTTCTTCAGAGAAATGTCTTTTTATAGCTTTTAATTGAAACAATTTTTAAATTGCATTTTTTGGTATTTTACTATTGAATTTTGAGAATTCTTTATATCTTTTAGGTACTAGTCTTTTGTCAAGTATGCAGTTTACAGGTACTTTCTTGTCTAGCTTGTCTTTTCATCCTCTTAACAGGGTCTTTCACAGAGAAAAAGTTCAATTTTGATGAAATTCAGTTTACCAATTTTTCATTTTATGGATCGTGCATTGGTGTAAGTCTAAGAGTTACTCACCTTGCCCTAGATTCTGAAGATTTTCTCCTATTTTTTTTAAAGTTTTATACTTTTAAGTACATGATCCATTTTGAGTTAATTTTTGTGTAAGATTTAAGACCTAGATTGAGGTTTTCTTTTACCTCTCTCTTTTTATCTATGCAGGTCTGATTGCCCCAGCAACATTTGTCAAAAAGGCTATTCTGCTTCCATTGAAATGCTTTTACATTTTTGTCAAAAATCGGTTGGGCATGCTCGTGTGTATCTTCCTTTAGGTTCTCTGTTCTGTTCCATTGATTTACATATATGTCTTTTCCTTCACCAATAACACAGTCTTCATGATGGTAGCTATACAATAAGGTTGATTCCTCCTACATTCTTCTTTTCAAAATTGTTTTAACTATTCTGGTCCCTCTGCCTTTCCGTATGAATTTTGGGATAATGTTGTCTATCTCTGGAAAAACTCTTGCTGGAGTTTGATAGGCATTGTGTTAAACTTCTGTATGAATTTAGGGAGAATTGATATCTTTAAGAGGTGATGTCTTCCAACATATGAACATGGGATATCTCTTCATTTGTTTAGGTCTTTGGTTCCTTCTGTCTGCACTTACATAGTTTTCAGCATAAAATTCACATCCATGTTTGGTTAAATTTACATCTAAATATTTTGATTTTTTGAGCAATTATGAATGGCATTGTTTTTTAATGTTAGTGTTCACGTATTCATTGTTAGTATATAGAAATACAATTGACTGTATATGTTTGTATTCTTCAACCTTACTGAACTAATTTATTCTAGAAATTTTTTTATGGATTCCATGGGATTTTTGATGTAGGTAGTCAGGTCATACCTTTATCAAATTTTAATGTGCCACATTTGCTTTACATTTTTTTAAAGAACTGAAAAATACTTTCCAGCTGGGTGCAGTGGCTCATGCCTGTAATTCTAGCACTTTGGGAGGCCAAAGCAGGTGGATCACCTGAGGTCAGGAGTTTGAGACCAGCCTGACGAACATGGAGAAACCCTATCTCTACTAAAAATACAAAGTTAGCTGATTGTGGTGGTGCATGCCTATAATCCTAGCTATTTGGGAGGCTGAGGCAGGAGAATTGCTTGAACCCAGGAGGCGGAGGTTGCAGTGAGCCGAGATGGTGCCATTGCATTCCAGTCTGGGCGACAAGAGTAAAACTCCATCTCAAAAAAAAAAAAAAAAAAGAAAGGAAAAATACTTTTTTCTTCCTCTCCTTCCTCAGAAGTTATCACTATCGTGAATTCAATGTTTATAGTTCACATATATTTTTATACTTTTTGTTTTGTTTTGTTTTTTGAGTTAGAGTCTCACTCTGTCACCCAGGCTGGAGTGCAGTGATGCGATCTCAACTCACCAACTCACTGCAACCTCCACCTCCTTGGTTCAAGTGATTCTCCTGCCTCAGCCTCTGTAGATAGTTCCTGGAATTACAGGTGCCCACCACCTTGCCTGGTTAATTTTTGTATTTTAGTAGAGATGGGGTTTT